TGGCGTGGGTTTAGACGACATCTGATTGGGCCGAGCCAATGACACGCACCGAATCTGCCAACGACGCCCAATCGCAGGTGTCCACTTCGAAATTGCCTTTCGTCTCGACAGAGTCCAAGATGTCGTCGCGCACGCTGCGTACGATGCAGAGCCTCGGGCGCCAGAGCAGCCTCGCCGAGCTCCACGACGAGGCGCAGAACTCGGGCGGCTTTACCGGCTACCTCACGACGACGGTCACCGACTTTTTCACGAGCCCACACAGCGCGTGCATCAAGTTTGCCGTCGTTATCGCTGGCATTGTCCTCACGCTGCCCGCCATCTTGTTCCCAGGTTCAGTACCTTTTCTAGTCGATAGCATGTAGACTGAGTTGCGATGCTAGTTTGTGTGAGCCTCAAGATCGATGGCCACGTGCACTGGACGTGGCTGCAGACGTTCATCCCGCTCTTCATCGTCACGGTCGTCTCGTTGCCTCTGTACATGCTCTTGACGCAGGTCGACAACCCCAAAGTCGGCAACAATGACGAAGATGGCCCGCCCATGTCCAACGACAACACCGACTGCCACGCCAACGACACGTCGGTCTTGCTGCCCTCCTCGGACTCCACCAACCCGCCTCAAAAGATCTTGACGTGGTAGCGTTGTTGCATCTCTTGTGCCAGCGACATCTCATGGGTCAACCGTACTAGGGGGAGTGTGTTTAGCCTTCTGTGCTCGCTGCTGGCGCACATTTTTATCGCGCTTCGCCTCGACAATCATATTGACTGGGCATGGATCTATGTGCTCTTGCCGTACTGCTTGGTCATTCTCGTTGACCGGTCGTCGTCGAGCGTTCTCCAAGTCCTCCAAGTCGTCTTTGTTGCCGAAAAGCTCGACGGCGGGCTTACGTGGACCTGGCTCGTGGTGCTCCTGCCGACGTGGCTGCCCCTCGCCGTCATGCTCGTTATCTTTGTACGTCATTTTGTATTGCATTGGGCTGACAAATTGTTGCGTGAATATAGCCCATTGGCGCTGCCTTTGCAGTGCTCATGTTTGCGGGCGACGACGACAGCGCATCGCCCAAGCCGTGGTGCTTTGCGCTATCAGTGTTCCTCGGCGTCTTTTCATTCTTTGCCTTGATCACGGGACCGCAATTGTTGATTGTCCTTCGCCTGCAGTACTTTACGTTCTCGACCATGTGGATCTGTGTGCCGTGGATCATCATGTACAGCGTTGTCATTCTCCTCGTACGTTGTATAGAAGTAGTGCTATCCACGGACTCTGACGTTGTTGCGTGGTGTAGGCGACACTAGCGGTGCTGGTCCTTGCGTTCCACGGCAAACCGTCGGCGTCTGTCCAGGCGGACGGCGAGAATACGATGACCAGCGAATATGGCACCGTCTAAACCGACACCATTTGCCTGCATCGTCCTGTGCAGGACTGTAAACAGAGTAATATAAGTCTACTGTTGGTGCACGTCGTCAGACCATGCGAGACATTTTGGTTATAGTTTGCAGCGAGCTGCATGAGGCGGCAACAAGGATGCATCTGCACTTGTGCGTTGAATACCTTGCGTGAGTTTCCTCAAAGAGCGATATTTGCTGCTATTGCGTTGCTGTGTCCTTTTCCCTCCTCTTTGCTGTGCTGTCATGCTCACGCACGATTCATGTTCAGCAACTTTACACTCATTGAAAGGACGTATTTGGCCAATTCAATATTGATCGTATCTAACGCCATAAGCGTCGAACGGTGACAGCAAGGGACCAAATTTATTCCTTGGGTGACAGCGACAGCGACGTGAGTCCCATCGACAATGTGAGGCGGCATGATGCAACATTGGGTCGATTCTGCATGGCTAGACTGACTCTTCATCCCAACTTCTTCAATTCAGCGAGTTTTGAGCTTTGCAAATGCCCATGTGATCGACTCTGCACCGAAGTATCTTTTGTACTGGGCCCAAGCATGTTTGCTGTTGTCTGCTTCGCCGTAGACCGTTTCAGTGGCCAACAATGGTCACCATTCTGTAGACCGACCGTTGCCGTGCTGGTGGTTGGCTCATTTCTGGCCAAATATAGAGTAACAAGTAGGGTCTGTCGCTGTGGCGTATCTAGGCACTCAACAGTCGTCAACATCGAGTTCTCTTCTCGCTTCTGACAACGACGAGTATTCGGAACATTGAGACTCACATTTGCCGCCAATTTTTGGCAGGAATGTACGTTGGTTTGCAGGAATAATGTTGAGAGTTGAGTCGTCGGCCAGCGTTGCCCTCCATGGGTTGTAGCGCTTTATTCAGCGTCCCGACGCCTTGACGACGGGTTTTCCATCCCGGAAAAGACACAACCCGACGTCAGTTGAGCTGATTCAAGGTGTCGATAAGCCATCCAACATTCTGAATCGAATCGAGTGCAAACAAAGAGCAAGGCGAGCGTCTGCTTTGCGTCCGAAAAACGACCACAGACTGCCACGCATGAAGGGCATTTCAGTTGCCAGCTGCAGCATCCGTGTCCCAAAATCTCTTTTGCGAGCACGACCCGCATCCATCGAAGCTTGCAACGACAACTCATGCAACTGCGCCCGATCTGTCCCTTGAGCGGCATTGGGTTTGTTGTAGTGATCCTATGGCGATTCGTATGGCGCTGAATCATTATTGCCGAATGCACGTCGAGAGCAGCTGGTTCAAGTTTCGTTTCAAAGTGCGTTATTTTAGCGTCACACCTGCGATACAATATACTCCACATTTGAAACACACGACGTACGTGGCAGCTTCCATGACGCGCCCATTGCCATTTTCAAAAAGGCATGGTGCCGTCAACACCGTTCACGCGTGAGGGGTCGTACGCCAAGTTCTCGGAGGCCGCGAAAGCGCGGCGCGGTCCGCTCGGGTACCTGGCCCGCACCTGCGACAAGCTTTTGCAGCAGTCCAAGACCTTCTGTGTGCGCTTGTGTCTCGTGCTGTACGGCCTCTTGCTGCTCTTGCCCGCCGTCCTTACACCGCGTACGACCCTTTCTCTTCCATTCTTCTCTTTCTCGATTGATACGTCTTGTGTTCTTAGTGTTTGTCTGCTGGAAGGTCGACGGTACGATCGACTGGAGCTGGGCCACCGTGATGGTGTTTGTCTGGATATATGACGTTATGGCCTGGTACGCAGAAATTGCATCACTTAAGAGTCACCAACTCGTTTCTGGTTAGCAATGGCACCCTTGCGTGGCTTTGCGGCTTTCTCTTGCACCTCTTTGTGGTGCTGCGCCTTGACGGACATGTGGACTGGTCCTGGATCTGCGTCTTCATCCCAGCCTACGTCTCGGTTTTTGACTGGGATGGTTCGGGCGACCTCTGTTTTGCGCTCCAGCTCATTTTTCTCGGGCTCCAACTCGACCACACGGTCACGTGGTCGTGGCTCGTTGTCTTCATCCCGATGTGGGTGCCGACTGCTATTGTTGGCCTCTTCTTCGTACGTTCGATCCATCGATGACCTGGCTTGACACTCGATTAGATTGTCTTTGTATTTGTCGCCTGCTTTTCCGATACCTCGTCGCGACTGGGTGCACTCGGCCTGATTCTTTTGGCGTGTCTCGGCTTTGGGCTCCTCGTCGCGCCCCAAGTCCTCCTCCTCGTCCGGCTC